TGAGTTAATTGGACTCAAAGATGTTTAATGAAAATATAAAAAATAATTTTTATAAATAAAACATCTTTTCCATTCAAATTAAATCATAAAAATCAATAATAATTATAAAATTAAATTAAGGATTTGATTCAAGAAAATCATGAAATTTTGTCCAAGTATTTCTCTGACCTAAGAAAACCTTTAATAATTTTTTCATAAACCAAAAACTTCATTTTTATAGCTTAAATAAATTAATTTTTAAAAAAATCCTATTTTCTAAGTTAAAATAATAATTATTTAAATTAAAATATGTTAAATTAAAAATTATTTAAATTAAAATATGAAAACCACATTTTTCTCCTCTGATGTTTTAACTATTCTATGGACAGGGTATTTCAAAATGGCTTAAGTCATTTGAATGGTGCTTCATGAGTTATGAGGTGAAGAGCCCCAAGGGTTAAGCGGTCATTTTAGGATTTTGGTTTCTTAATCAAAATTTAGGATTAACCAATGGGAAAATTGGTAATTTTGATCTTAATGAGTATGTTTGGATGATTGAAATATAATGGGTAAAGGATAGAAACCAACTTTCCACCTTTCTATAATAATAATAAGATTATAATTTTTTTAAATTATCAGAATTTGGAAGTTAATCAAAATCAAATAGTTTCCAAGTGATGGGCTTAAACTAAGGAGATGATATTTTACTTATGATCAAGTCCACAAATAATAATGAACTAACTTCTTTTAATCAAAATCCATAGCACCTAAATTAAAAATTATAAACCTTTGTTAATCTTTTTGCCTTTAGATTCATAAAGGGGCTTGGTAGTGATCTAGGCTTGATTTTAAAACTTGTTTGATGGGATTTAGAAGATAATGTTGTTGATGATTAACACTATCAAGCCAAAACTTAGTGGTGGGTATCAGACCTTTAATGACTGAAACTAGCCTTAGGGTCATTCACCTATATAACTTTTAAGTGAAATATCAACTGATTAATTGAGTACCATGTCCTCGGGATGATTAAAATATCAAGATTCACCGAGTAATAGGGTAATTTAATTTGGCTTGGGATGATTAATGGAATAATATGATAAGTTCAAAATGACCTTGAATGTTTCAAGGGACCTTTAAAGCAGTTCAGGGTCATTCCCCGAACACTTTATAATCTCTTGAATATTTTGAAGAACAAATTGAACTTGTTATATTTTGTTCTAAAGTTATCCATTAAAATCTTTAAGGATTCAATAAGTCATAGTTTGGAGTCAGTTAGCTACACATTTGTCTACTATTGAAATTTATTTAAATTTCTGCAAAATTATATACATGTTGCAAAAGCTAATCTTTCAATTGGAATGCTGAGAAGATGGCACATACTATTTTATAGTGTTATTTAATTTCTGTCATTTTATTTTCTATGAAAGTTATAGACTGCTTGGGTGAGTACAATACTTCACTTGAAAAATCAAAACAAATTTTTAAAAAAATAATCAACATTTTTTAAAATCTAAAACAAATTGTTTCAAAAGTAACCATAAATCCTTTGAAATTTCACAAAATTTAAAATGTCCTTTTGAATTTACGGGAATCCGTCAGAAGAGGCAACCCACGGTTGCTAATGAGATCTCCTTGATTTAAATGAGTTTCATAAGTTAAGCTAAGTAATTCAAAAGAAAATAGTGATACCATAGCAAGTAACCGTGGGATCCTAACCGATGTCGCTCTAATCAACTTTAATCAACTTTAACCTAACCCCCCCATAATATTTAAATAACTATAACCTTAGGAAACATTTGATTTGACATCATGACCTGACACATTAGAAAACTTGACCTCTGAACCTAATACTTCTCTCAATCTTTACAATTTGACACTTCTAAAAATTAAACTCGTCATGACAAGGAGCTTGAAGTTTATAACTTTCTAAAATCTATTATCCAATCTTACAAATCAAGTGAAGCTATTATCCTTTCTATTTTTCTTAAAGTGGTAGTGCTATGAGAAAAATACCTATTTAGAATAACTCCAAAACTTTACATACGTACTCTCCTAGATTGTTCAAGTTCCATAATGGTTGGAAAATCTCTACCATTTATTTCTATGTTTTTCTTTTCTAGTATTGAACCATATGAGGATTCACTTTGGATGTTCAATTTGTTCGTCCTAACCCTCTTAGCCAAAGGCTAGGGGCTTGAGTCCACCCATATGAGCTTTGAGCTTTCCAAAAGGAGTCGCAAAAGGAGTCGGGAGACTAAATCAAGTGCAAGTGGTCTTAGGGTTTGCAAGCTAGACTAACCAAGAACAAACCACCCAGGGTTAGTCCTAAAGCTTGACCCTCCTACGGGGACTCACCTTGAGCTCCCTCATATTTACCCCACCTACTAATTGCTAGAGGTTAGGACCAATATGTGGAACTTCAAGTTGAGCAAAGAAACATTTAGAATTTCTAATGGCGAGGGTTCCTTTTCTAGTCCTCTAGGAATAGTCAACAGGAAAGTCCTATGGCTAGACCCTAGGCTACTAAGGAGGAAACTAGTCCTCAACCAAAAGTGAGATCAACACATTTGCTTTCTCCTTTTCAAGTAAATCTCTCCCTTGGATCATAAAAAATGATCCAGAGAAGAAATGAACCAGTAAGATGTGAATATATGATGAAAACAAATAAGCAAATTAAAAAGAAGCATGGTTTAAAGGTGAACTATTAAGGATGTAAGACCCATCTTGGATTGTATAGCCAGAAATGCTTATTGACATTAACCCATAACAGAGAAAGTCATATGAAATCCACTAATGCTGGTTGAATTATCCTAGGTTGTTGGTCGAAGCTTTTGTTTGGTGAATGTAACCTATTATGGAAGACATCAAAGGAAATGCACCAAGGGAATTGGACCTATCTGAGGTTGTTAGTCGAAGCTTCTGCTTGACGACTATAGCTTGTGATGGAATAAGTTGAATCAAGTATAACTAGGATTGATTAAACATAGAATGAGATATCAGAGATGCTCTGTGTTTCTTAACACGGGCGTTGGTCACAATGAACCATATGTTTTCATGGAAAAATGGTTGCAGCCATACTCAGAAATAATCTGGCAACTTGTTTGTTGCTACTTTTGAATTTTTGCTCTTTCGGCGAGTGTGTTTTCCACATGAGCTTGTAAATCAACCCATGTGTCCGGACTTGAAAAAATCTGCTTACTAATCTAGTTGAAAAGGAACTTCAGTACGAATGAGGGGGTATTGAAGAAGTGTTATTTGCAGTAAAGATTGCCCCCAGTCCATGAGTTATTCTTGAAGACTTGTTATCTAAATGAAATGTGGGTAACTCCCCACCACAGTCATGCACATGACGTTAACGTGAATGACCTGTCAAGACTGCAGTAAAGATTGCTCCCAATCTAGAAATGCTTCTTGTAAACTTGATGTATGAATAGGATGTGAGAAGAATATCATACTATAATCATTCCTGGGACGTTTACGTAAACGACCTTTCTTGACGATAGTGAATGTTGCCCCCCATATTGAAAAATGCTTTAGATATGATATTCAATATGCAAAGGAGGCTCCTATGTCTGTTGGATGATGTATATCATTGGGAAATGAAGTAGGGATTCAGTGCCTAGAGTTGAAGACATCCTAGAACGTGACTTCGCTTTCTATAGACGATGTCAATGTGATACATGCTAGAAAATCCACGGAGATGAAATAATGGATTATTATTTTAGCGTTACATAAGAATTCAACACACACTCAGATAAAAAATAACAACCAGTTGAGACACATGAAGTTTTTTAAGTGAAGAACCTGTAATGGGAAAAAACTACTTGGTCTGGCTCAGTTGAAGAGATCCACTATAGACTGAAGATTACAAATACAAACCTTTGTCCCACAGGTGGGAAATAACAACAAAGTCTCTCAAGTTACAATGTCGATGTGCGGGGGAACTTGTCACAAAAAATGAGTGGTGACCGATGCTGATTGACTGCGACCAGCAAGTGGTTGTCGATGGTGGTCGGCGGTGGCTGACGATGATAGGAGTGATGCTGGACTTCAGCTTCTTCTTATAGCTTCAAACTCTTCCTCAGGCCTCCATATCCCTCACTGCATGAGAAAGATGGAGCTTTAATTATACAGATCTGTGTGCAATTAGTGCAGAAATATAAACCACTTAATCAGACGGTCCAGAGAGCTTCCTTTGATTAGACAACATTTGTTGACAATTATATGCCTTAAAAATATCAGAATTGAGTGATCATGGGCTCATTGAATTATTCTTCCCGAGACGTTCTATTCGACTATAAGCTCATCAGATTTGACATTTGATTGACCTCTTAAATGTGTCTGAAAATTTTACAAACATAGTTTGGGCTCGATTTAGTTCAGATTGGATCAATGTTGGTACCATTAGACCCATCTTGTCGAGCTAGTCAGTTAAATTATAAGTTTGCTAAAATGGGAACTTCAAATTAATTTTAATTGAAGGTTGAATGTTTATTATTCAAAAAATTGCATTGATATTTGTATGGTACATCTAGATTTGTTCAGGCGTATCAAGACCAAAAGCCAAATCATTGCAGTGACTCGAGACTTTCACATTTCTTGGGGAGAACGTAAATTAAAAGTCATATTTTTATAAAATTTCCACTCAAATTTCTTAACAAAAATAAAAACAAACAGACACACGAGTCAAGTTATTCCCTTGATTGCGATGGCAATCATCCAGACAATCAACCAACTGAGATGCTGCAATTGCGGTTTGCTGAAACATAAAATGATCCCTACAACGCTATCAACAAAAGTGGCTTCAGGTCCTATTTCGTCAAAAGATTGAATCAACCCACCATCCTAAGCCCATCGCAGCATATGCCCTAACTTGACTTTCTGAACTAAGTTCCCATTTCTGTACCTCCTAGCCTTAATAGCTCTCACATGCAGCTTCCCTCCCATGCACTTCACCACCCCTGACGCTGTAATAAAACCATAACAACATGTCACACTTCTCCCACCCTTTCAATGGCTCCAATCCCTTGTTTCCAAGCCCAAGCAGTTATGCTTCTTCTCCTCTCCCTCTCCATTCGTCTAAACCTCACTTCTGCCATTACTTGTACAGACTTCGCAATGGGCTTCGCCACCTGCATTCCCTACTCTTTCGGTATAACCAGCTACCCATCTCGTGAGTGCTGCGAATCACTAAGCCGCTGGGTCTCGTCTATCAAATCCACTCGCCAACGACAGCGAGGCTGCCTTTGCTTTAAATTAATCTTAAACATGCGTGGGATCAATGATGCTAGATTGGCCACTCTCCCCAAAATATGTGGCGTCAATCTTGGCTTTCCAATTAGCAGATCAACTCATTGTTCCCGGTAGGTTGAAGAAATCAAAAAATAAAAAGGCATTTACATACATGCCATCAAATTCTTATGTGTTTACGATTTTAACACCAAAGCCTTAGTTCTTACATTTATACTACTAAATCTTTCCTATCACATGAAAAAAACTATTATTTTAGTTTTAAAAAAGTGAAATACATATTTTCATAATGCTTAAGGCGGCTTATACGTGTCAAAGTGATGCGTGCTAGAAAATCCGCGACTATAAAATAATAAATTATTGTCTTAGTGTTATACGAGAATTTAACGCACACTCAGATAAAAAGAAACAATTAGTGGAGACACATGAAGGTTTTAAGTGAAAAACATGTAAAGGAAAAAAACCACGAGGTTTGCCCCAATTGAAGATATCCACTATAAACTGAAGATCATAAGTACAAATGTTTGTCTCACAGTTGTGAAAGAGTTACAAGGTCTCTCAATTTATAATGTCAATGTGGAGGAACTTATCGCAAGAAATGGGTGTCGATCGATGGTGATTAGCAGCGGCCGACAAGTGGTAGTCAACGGTGGTTGGCAGTGACTGACTTTGACAGAAGTAATGCTGGACTTCAGCTTCTTCTCATAGCTTCAAGTTTTTCCTCAGACCTTCAGATCTCTCCCTGCATGAGTAGGATGAAGCTCTATTTATAGAATTTTGTGATATGCATGTAAATCTTTAATATCTCTCGAGTGTTAAATATATAAATATATAAGAATTATGTTGTATATATGTAAAGTTCTCTAGTTTATTATGGGTGCCCTTGATTCAGCATCCCTTTATATATTTAATTATTAAAAATTATAAGTAGTTAGTTAATGTTTTATACATCGTTGGATGATATAATTAAATAATTAGATTATTAATTTAGATGTATTTTCTAATAGTTTAATATTTATTTCCAAGAATAACGTCGATATATACAGTAAATTTTGTATGGAGTAAAAGAATTCTGATAGAACTTTTTTCTTGTCAATTTATATCTAAATACTAATTAATATTTGATGATGTTATTTTTTTCTATGATTCCAGGGTGAAGGGAGCCAGTGACGGCTTTATGTTATAGGAAATATCGTCCTAATAAGAGAGTTAATTAATGGTCAATTTGGACGTGAAAATGTGAGACCAAATAAAGTATCTATTGTCTTCACCCTGGAGTTTGCATGCGTAATTAAAATAAATGCGACGCAGGTGAAGCAAATGTTTTCTAAATGCATGGCTTAATTGTTAATGTTGTTTTGCTAATGCAATTTGACCGTCTAATAATATTTATGTATTGCAATAATGTAAATGTTGAATGCCTTTGAATTATATGAATCTCAAAGAAGCTGAATCCATTCAATTATCATATTAACATGCATTGTTTTTCTTTTGTTTTAGTTTTCTTATTGCTAATGAGATTGTTGATATGGTGCTGCATAAAATAATAATGTTCTATTATATATGTTTGTTTGAGGTATAATATGGACATAAATTCAATGCGATAATTTGTTTTGTTTGGCTGTGCAACTGGATATATACATAAATGTTTGCACAACAATATACGATATTCTGAATTATGACTATACAGATATAGACATAATTAACATTATGTTTTAGAGTAAATCGACATATGATAATAAACATTGTCACAAATTGATTAAAAAAAAAGCTAAAAATTCTATTAATCATATCCATAAAATATATTGGGGACATTCAGCCGTCCAAACAGACAAAAAAATTATAGTGCACTTGATGCCAATTACTAGCTTTCCAATGTTCCTACCCATCGCTTACACTAAATTATTAATTCTTGAAAGAAAATATTTTATAAACCTAATAACTAATTCGTACATTTCAAAGAGAGATTTTTCGTAGCACTTTCTTGTCTGTTTGGGGCGGTTGTATCTTATTGAATAATCTGCTGATAACCTGATTAAAAATAATCTGCTGATAAGCTAGGTGCGGTGGCTATTACAATTTTTTTTTTTTTTGAAAAAGCCAGACCATAGCTAGAAAGTCTCACCGCACCTAAATAGGTGCAGCGTGAAAACGCAGTTTTCAGCTTTTTGAAAACGCAAAGCTGCCAAAATGCAGTTTATCCAAATAGGTCATGTGCGTTTTCAAAACGCCACCGCACCAAATAAACTGCCCCAAACGGACTTATAAAATCAACTAATTTTCTTGTAGCGCATCAAAAAGCACTGCAGAAGCATTGTATTTGCTTAGCATTGCTAAGGCTTTTCGCAGCGCTGCTCAGTAGCGGAAAAGATTTTCGTAGCAAAATCTGCTGCAGCGCTTAAAATGCTGCTACTCTCTATAGTTTATCAGTGTTTATAAATGCCGGTAACATGAAAAACAAATAACTTAAAACTTTATGAATGTTGCAGCGCTTAAAAGTATTGGTATAATAAAATTTTTTATTTAAATTTATTTTATTTGGTTTACATTTACACATTTGTTACAATCATTATATACAGTATAAGTAAAATATTAGAAATTCACAAGAATACACTCGTTCTGCAAACACCACAAAAGTACAAATTTATAGTAGTCGTATTTTCTTGAAAACATCGTCTTTATCCTTCAGTTGTATCAATCCAACAAACACAAAATTTACATAAACAAGCATGAGGATCTAGAAAGGAATTTTATATGCATAAGATATGTAAGATAAAATAAACTTTGTGCAACCTTAAATTCATGTCACCTCAATAATTAAAGTTTCAATTTATAGGCTCAAATATGAAAAGTATTTAAAGAGGCAATGAATAACTAAATATATGAATCAAAACTTATAGTTTCATAACATCTGTCATAACAATCATTCATAATAAAAAAGCATAACATAAAGAACAAGAAACTATTCTACAAAAATATTACAAATATAAATGAAACATAGCATAAGTGAATGTTTAATGCATAGCATCCTCCCATCATGTCAGACGTCAGAAGCGTTGTCATTGCAATCGTGCAATTAAGAATTATATAATTAGTTATTAATATTATTATAACTAGTCATAGAAATAAAATATTTATCAAATTTTATCCACCTGGCACTGGATAATTCATCTGAATCTGATGCACAAATTGTTGCATTTCAGATTGTACAGCTTTTATCTCTTTATCAAATCTATTCTCCAATCTAGTAACTCAAGCGAAACAACCTTCACTGCTACTTTCACCCAGAGTGATAGTGCAAGAAAAATACTTTCTCGAAATAAAACCAAAACCTTGTGTTCGTAGTCTACCAAGTTGTTTTGGCCCATGTTTGTGTCTTCTGATATTAAATCTTTTTCATAAAGCATTGCACTTGTTCTCATCTAAATTATCAAAAATAAAAATTTTACAACCAATATAGAAAATTCATTTGAGTTTATTCATAATTAAGTCAAAAAAATGTAGTCATCTCTCTTCGGCATTCACAGACACTAATCTCCCGTCTTTATGCATCCTACTAATTCTCCATAGTAACAATATGTCATGAATTGCCTACAAAAAAATAAGCATTAGTAAAATTATTTTATAATTTAATATAGATAATATGTTAAAAAGAAGTTAAATATAATACCATTACTTTTATTCTCCACACAAAACTGATGCAACCGATTGTATGAGGACGTGTTCTTCTTAGCATTCCCAGCGTTAATTGCAATATTATTTGCTTCTCTTTCCTGCAACAAATACATTTATTATATTAATATAGATATTATTTAAAAAGTTAAATTATACCTCTCACTTGATCCTCTAGTTTTGACATTTGCATCACAAGTTGACACCACTGCAATGCATCTATGCCCTCAGGGACATCCTCCCTTATTTCATCAATTGGACGTTTATCCCAATGCTCAACCTTCAAGCTTGCCTCATGATTACATCATTTCACAGCAAGAGATCATAGAATCCAATTTCGTATATGGCCAGGAAATTAAATTTTGATTACAAAAGTAATCACAAGTAAGAAGATTAATTTAGCAAGGTAATAATATCATACATTTATTCGAATAATAAATTTATCTCAGTCTCTACTGACATCTTCTTCTTGAAGATCTTCATGCCTTTATTCCTCTAGTCTGAGAATGAACTTGGCGCTAAAATTGGATCACTGACAATGATACATTTATGTGGCAAGTTAATTAGATCGGGATGTTGCAAGGTATTCAATTGTCATTAATCTCAATATGAAGTTGTGCCCTTGGTGGTAAATTTTAAATGTCTGCACAGGTTGTGTGCCCCCAACGTCTCAAAGAAGCTCCTTGCTCATCAAAGAAAATATAGATAAAATAAAATAAATTATTAGAATATAATTATATAAAATATACCCTTATAATTGAAAAGAATACACCGCATACTCAAAAGCCAAACCCCATCTTTTGATTGTCGCACATGTTGATTATTATAATCTTGTTCCTTTGAGTAGTTATATGGTGGAGTAGACCGTCTTTTCTATGCTATGCTGCTTCTTCCCTTACTTGACCCACCTATAGAAATTACTTGTTTTGCACGTCTTAAAATGTAAATTAAGAAAATGGACTTTAGCTTGTAGGCTTCTTTAAATTAAGCATTTATAAATAAAATGATTGCACAACATACCAGAAAGTGAAATCCCATCTTCTAGTCAGCAAATCCTACAGTAGATGAAATTCACTTATCTATCCAAAATCTTGATGTAGCTGCTAATTCATTTGAGCTTAAACCTGTTATTATCCAAATGGTACAAAACTATCAATTTGGAGGTACACCAAATGAAGATCCTAACTTACACCTCGCTAGTTTTTTAGAACTATGTGCTACTTTTAAATATGATAGAGTGTCAAACGATGTTATTAGACTTAGGCTTTTTCCTTTTTCACTGAGGGATAAGGCTAATATGTGGTTAAACTCGTTAGCACCTGGAACTATTAGAACTTAGGGAGAATTGTCACAGAAATTTCTATCCAAATATTTCCCTCCATCCAAGACTGCTAAACTAAGAAATAACATAACATCGTTCTGTCAGATTGATGGAGAGTCAATGTATGAAACTTGGGAGAGATTTAAAGATCTCCTTAGGAAATGTCCTCATCATTCGTTACCAGACTGGTTAATAATTCAAAACTTTTATAATGGATTAGTGGGATCTCTTAGATCGATTATAGATGCTGCGGCGGGTGGTTCTTTAATGTCAAAACCTTTTAATGAGGCTTATTCATTAATAGAAGAAATGGCTACCAATAATTTTTAATGGCCCTCTGAGCGGGTAAATCCTAAAAGAGTAGCTAGTATCCATGATTCTGATGCAATATCTATGTTAGCTTCACAGACTACTGCAATATCAAAGAAATTAGATCATCATGGGATGAATTACTCTTCAACACCTCCTATGATGGAAGAAAATTCATCTGGGCAATTTGTGGATGTTCAACCTTCATATGAAACCTTAAATGCTATTAATAGACCCAACAACCCATATTC